AATGTGTTTTGGCTTTTTGGAAAATCAAGTTCAGGTTTCCTTAAAAGATGTAAAATTAATGTTTTTGCTGGAAATACTTCAGCTGCAAGTCATGGGATACTTAATGTCAGTTAAAAAGTGGACCAGGCCTAGGCAGGGACTGGCATTGGTCAGAAACCCTATCTTTGTATTAACTTGCATTTTATTCATGGTTTATTCAGCAGGAGCTACTGCAGCTCCTGCCGTGAGATCCATGTTCAGGCTGGAGGAAGAGAGAAGTGACCCAGTGGTGATTTTTTAAAATGGGCAGGCTGGGCGCAGTGGCTCACACTTGTAATCCCAGCACTTTGGGAGGCCGAGGAGGGCAGATCACTTGAGGTCAGGAGTTTGAGACCAGCCTGGCCAACATGGTGAAACCCCGTCTCTACTAAAAACACAAAAAAATAGCCAGGCATGGTGGCACTTGCTTGTAATCCCAGCTACTTGGGAGGCTGAGGCAGGAGAATCGCTTGAACCAGGGAGGTGGTGGTTGCAGTGAACTGAGATCACGCCAGTGCACCCCAGCCTGGGCAACAGAGTAAGACTTTGTCTCTAAATAAATAAATAATAAAAATGGGCTCAAATCCTTTGACAGTCCTCCCTGAGAGGTGGTGGTGATGTCCCCTCCCCTTGAATCTGGCTGGTGATTATTTTGACCAATAGAGCGTAATGGAAGTGGCACGCTGTGAATTACAAGGCCGGGTCATAAAAGGCCATGCAGCTTCCATGGTGGCTGCCGTCGTGACAGCGTCCATGGTGGCCAGGCATGGTGGCTCATGCCTGAAATCCCAGTGCTTTGGGAGGCCAAAGCTGGGGGTTTGAGGCCAGGAGTTTGAGACCAGCCTGGGCAACACAGTAAGATCCTATCTTTACAGAAAACTTAAAAAAATTGTTTTTAATTAAAAAAAAAGTTCACTCTTCAGAAGCTCCTCTGCTTCCTCTCAGCTGCCACGCTGTGAGAAGCCCAAGCCACAGGGGAAATTCAGAGGCCATGTGGAAATGCTCCAAACAACGGTGCCAACTAAGCCCAGCCCTCAAGTCACGGCAGCCCAGGTGCTAGACATGTGGGTGAAAAAGCCTCCAGATCCATGCTGTCCAATTCAGAAGCTGCTGACCGCATGGGTTATTTCAATCTCAATTTCATTAAAATTAAATTAAAGTAAAAGTTCAGCTCCTCAGTCACACTGGCCACATTTCAAGTGCTCAAGAGCCGCATGTGGCTATCATATTGGACAGCACGGGCAGCATATTTCCATCACTGGAGGAAGTTCCATTAGATAGACCTGCTTCAGATGATTCTTGAGTGTTTGAGTCTTTCCAGCTGAGGTTCCAGACATTGTGGAGCAGAGATAAGCCATCCATCCTTTTGTGCCCTAAAAAAAAAAATTTTTTTTGAGACGGAGTCTCTCTCTGTCACTCAGGCTGGAGTGCAGTGATGCTATCTCAGCTCACTGCAACCTCTGCCTCCCAAGTTCAAGTGATTCTCCTGCCTCAGCTTCCTGAGTAGTTGGGTTCACAGGCGCACACCACCATGCCCCGCTAATTTTTTTTTGTATTTTTAGTAGAGTCAGGGTTTTGCCTTGTTGGCCAGGCTGGTCTCAAACTCCTAACCTCAAGTGATCTGCCCTCTTTGGCCTCCAGAAGTACTGGGATTACAGGCGTGAGTCACCATGCCAAGACTGAATTTCTTACCTAAAGGATCCAAGGGCATAATAAAACGGACCTTTTGTGCCACAATAAACTGGTATTTTGAATAGTTTTTCATGCAGCAGTAGTTAACTAGAACAAATCCCTCTGATAAGAAAAGCGTAGCACCCTCAGACACCATCCCAGCTGACTTCTGTTTATGCCTTATTTGCAGAACGTGTCACAATGCCACCTCTACTGCAATGAAGCCCAGGGAAACATGCATTCAGCTCTTCTAGCCTCTTCAGTCAGGAAGACAAGGGAACGAGGATGGGGCATGGGAAACGGGTGAGCTGGCAGCAGTGTCTGCCACAATTGGTTATAAATATAAAATTATATGCTATTTTAGTAAGCAGAGCTGCATAATAACATATGCAACCCATGCTTTAAATGTATTTAAAGTACTCTAATAACATTTGCTCTCAGAGTACTTTATATAAATGTTCCTTGTACTTAGAATGTCATGAACACTGTATCACTCCTAGAATCTGCACTATAATCTCTTTACTGAAATCAAAATCTTCCTCCTTGGCTAATGGAAAGAAGTTTCAAGATTTGGTTTGGATTTTCTTCATCAAGATAATAGAGAGTGGCAAATTATAAGGAGACATTCTCCCATCAGACCACGTCACTTCAGTAGAATTGCTTGTTCCAAAGACAAATGGGCTTGTGCAACGTTATCTAGTTATCTTTTAATTACAAATGTCAGTGTGCCGGTGTCTTCCGGAGAATATATAGCCCTCCACTACAAACCCATATGAAAAGCCACAGGAACCCACATTGACGTTTCCTCAGACATAACTGCATTGCTTTTTTTTTGGAGAAATGTCTAGAAAAGAACCAGTTTACTTGGTTTTTAATAACTCGATGATTACTGCATGATTTTAAAAATTAATTTTAGGCCAGGCACAGTGGCTCACGCCTGTAATCCCAGCACTTTGGGAGGCTGAGGCAGCCAGATCACCTGAGGTCAGGAGTTCAAGACCAGCCTGGCCAACATGGTGAAATCCTGTCTCTACAAAAATATAAAAATTAGCCAGGCATGACGGTGGGTGCCTGTAATCCCAGCTACTTGGGAGGCTGAGGAGGAAGAACTTGGAAGGTAGAGATTGCAGTGAGCTGAGATCGCACCGTTGCACTCCAGCCTGGGCAACAGTGAGACTCTGTCTCAAAAAATAACAATAATTTTAAAATGTGTGTGCTATGATTTACGTTGCATGACTGTCTAGAAAGAAAGAAGTAACAATCACGATAAGAACATTATGGTTTTTTGTTGTTGTTTGAGAAAGATCTCACTCGGTCGCTCAGGCTGGAGTGCAGTGGCATGATCACTGCTCACTACAGCCTTGACCTCTTGGTGTCAAGAGATCCTCTCGCCTCAGCCTTCCAAGTACGTGGGACTACACATGTGCACCACCACACCCAGCTAATGAAAAAAGTAATAAAATAGATACAGGTTCTCGCTATGCTGCATAGGCTGGTCTCGACCTCCTGGGCTAAAGAGATCCTCCCGCTTCAGCCTTTGAAGTAGCTGGGACTACAAGTGAGCATCACCATGCCCAGGTTATTATTATTATTATTTTTAATAAAATGAAGACAGGGGTTTCACTGTGCTGCATAGGCTGGTCTCGACCTCCTGGGCTAAAGAGATCCTCCCGCTTCAGCCTTTGAAGTAGCTGGGACTACAAGTGAGCATCACCATGCCCAGGTTATTATTATTATTATTTTTAATAAAATGAAGACAGGGGTTTCACTGTGCTGCATAGGCTGGTCTCGAACTCCTCTGCTCAAGGGATCCACCTGCCTCAAGCCTCCTAAAATGCTGGCATTATAAGCATGTGAGCCACCTCGTCCTGGCTGTCTTATTTTCAAATAAAGGTAAAAGTTCGATTCCTTAAAAGTGAAATGAGTCTTAGTAATTACACACCATGTGACAGCTATTCTCCTGTAATCCTGTCTCAATTTACAAGGAAACATAATAAGAATTAAGCTGAGGCAGGCAGATCGCACAGTTGCACTCCAGCCTAGGACAAAGCTTAGGACATCTCTATCTCAGAAATCAAGGTGTTGTGTGTGCTTGTGTGAATGAGGTAATAATTCACGGCACTTTCAAGAAACGATATCGGAAGTTATTTTTTACCAATTACCTTTATTTTAAGGCCCCACTGGGAATTGTGTAGAATGTAGGGATGTGAAAGGCAAAGGCTGTAGTTTCCAGTGACTGTCATTTGCTCAGAGAGGAATACCTCTTGATTGTGATACACTTGGAGTCTAATATCAAATTCTTTTTTCCTCCATAAGCCTAATCCCCTGCACAACTGGCAGTTAGTCCCCCACTCCCCTGCACAATTCCAAAGTAAATGTTAAATAGTAATAAGCCATATGCAAAACTTGGATAAATAACATTTTCTACCTCGTGACTGGTAATGTTCAGAGATGTGAATCGGTTTTCCCTTTTATTTGCAATCCATATTTGAAAAAGAGCTGCAGTATATATGTTAGGAACCTTGAGTTTTAAATGTAGAATTTTTTAATTGAAGGAGACATTAGACATGATCTAATTCAACCCTTCTTATAGGTGAGAAAACTAAAAGTTGATAGGAACTGGTGTGAAACTCAGATCTCCCAGTACCCGCTCTTCATTGCTTTTTTCCAGTAGGCCATGGGGCCTCCGTGTCTGTGCGTGTATGTGTTTATATTTGGTCTGAAATCTTACACTCCTGGACCAAGCAGCAATAACTCATAAATTTTTGACATCTACATTTCTGACTTAATGCTTTTAACTGCTATTGATATTTAATCAGTACCTATCAGATGACTGCTCTCGTATTTTAAACCTGGAATTATAGATTGAAGACATTCAGAAAAGAGAATTTGTGCCATCTCTTTAGAGAATTCTCGAAAAGTTTTGACAAAAATGTCTAGGAAAAAAAAAGAATTCTTGTAAAGTACAGATAAGTTTGACAAAATTACAATTCATCTATCTTTAGACAGACATTTTACTCTCAGCCACGCCTAACATGCCCCCCAATTATAGTTATATATTTTCCAAATTACAAATCAGGACACATGGGCCAGCAATTCTAGATGTGTGGTACAGTACCATTATTTGCCTAATGGTAAGAGAAGTTGTGCTTCCTGAACATGTGAAAAATGAAGTGTTTCTTTTGGTAAGGCATTCCAAGAATATCCTATCTAGTTTCTTGAAATTTCTGTGCTTAATTATAAAATTAAAAATAATTCACTTTTATTAAAGATGGAATTGTCATTATACAAAACCAAAAACAAACACATAATTAAAAAAACAAAACTGAACAAATCATTTATATTTGATGTTTTAATGACATTTCAATGCAGAGGAAGTGCCATTTTAATTTAAATGCTTTCACAGTTTTGCCATACTTTCACAGTTCAATTCCACTCTCGTTTGCAACTAAAAAACCTAAACATTAAAAAAAAAAAAATCACAACAATCAGAATTTAAGGAGTCACTGAGTGAAACTATGTTTTAGGAATCTGTACAATAAACATTAAATCAGTCACCTGACCACTCCCCACCGTCAGCCCATTCCACAAACCCATCCTCCCTCCCCTTCTACGCAGTGAGCCTTCAGAAATATCCTTTCTCAATGCGGCTCCTTCTGAAAAGGAGAGGCTGGAGACCCAAAGTGGAGAAGGCAGCTCCATCCAGATTTTGCGTCCATAAAGCCAATAGCTCCTAGGCCTGACATCTACAGCTGGTCTACACGGGCCCGCCCCGCAGACACCGACTCCATGGTGAGCTGCGGTTTAACTTCCTTATAGCAGGTTGACAGTGCAGGCCCCACGGTTTGGAGGGGAAGGCGGCGCCCCAACTGGTGTTTTTCCAGGAAGTGCTCCAAGAATGCGGAGGAAAGGGGAAAGGGGAAGGTCAGGCGATGGGCGTTTCATTCATTGCTTCTTTCTCCCCTTCCCCTCTATCGCTCCCCCAAGACTTTCCCCTTTTCCCAGTCCGAGTTTGACGTCGGTCTCCTGGATACCAGGCAGCCAATCGCCCGGTTGCGAAGGGACCCGCGCGGCCAATCAGGCGTCGTTGCTACCTGTGAGTAATATTTTTAGCTGAGAGGGACGCTCCATTCCACTCCCGATGTAATTTCGTGTATTTCTCTGGGGCAGGTTGTGAAAAAGGCGCTTACCCGTCCCCCGCCACGAGTCCCTCTCTTACCCTACTCCCTAGGTACCTGCACATATTTAAGCCGAGACTGATCTTCCACGCGCTCTACAGGCAGGCCCCGCGTCTATTCTGTGCACCTGCGTTCCAGCAAGCCCTAGACATGCGCACATGCATGTGTGTAGACAGGGGCACAGATACAGACGCAGCTTGGCCTCGTGTCGCCACACCCTGGGCCCGGCGTGGGCTGGGACATTCGGAATAAATGAATCCCAGTCGCAGCCGGGGTCACACCGGTAGGCCTGAGGCTGCGGAGGCAGTTAAACTGCCGGCGGGGCGAGAGCTGCGGCCCCCTCCCTTCCCCGCCCCCAGCCCGGCTCCGCGGCTAGTGGGTTCTGCAGCTGCCACTCTCTGGGGGGCGGTTGGCCTAGGCCTTGGGGTGATTAATATTCAATTAACCGGGTGCACGAGTCCCGGTCACAGTTTGCCCTTTCCCTAAACCCCCGCTGGGGTGGGCAGAGGCCGACTCGGTAACTATTCCACGAGCTCCAGGATCCTCCTCGGCCGCAGCCCTGCGCGAAGAGGGCACATTCTGGGCACCCTGGGCTCCTCCAGCCCCGGTTCTCTCAGCCGCTTTTCGTCCCCCTCCCCCTGCCCGGCGCTCTCCGCCTCAACCGGGCGTCGGCCGCCCTACCCCACCCCTTTCTCTCTCAGTGGCACGTCTCCCCCCGAGTCCCTCTCCAAACGTTCTCTTAATTCCGTCCCCAGGGCTCCGACCGCCAGTTCATTGGCCCTCCCGCAGCCCGAGGGCGCGGCTTCCCCACCCCTGAGTCCACCGCGCGTCCGGACACGAGCAGCCGGGACTTGGCCAATGGCGTCGGGGGGCAGGGCAGGGGCGGAGCCGGCGGCGGGGGCCGGGGTTGAGGGGCGGGGAGCGCCGGGACTGGCTAGGCGGCCGGGCCTGTGTGACGCGGGGCGGGCGCGCGCACCCCGACAGAGGGGATGGGGGCGGGGAGGAGGCCATAAAACGAGAGGCGGGGCGCGCGCCGCGACAGAAAGAGCTAAGCTCTGGCCCGGCGTGTAGCGGGCCCACGACGGGGACGCTGGGCCGGGCACCGGGCTGTGTGGAGAAGTGAGCGCGCTCGTCTGACCCCTGCGCCCGCCACCCCGCGCCATCGGCGGCGAGCTCCAGGGCCCGCCCGAGGCCTCCGTCCTCTGCCCTCCGCCTCGCAGCGGCGACGTGGTGCACTCGGCGAGCCCGCCGCTCCCGACCCTCCCGCGCCCCCGCCCTGCCGCGCTGCTCCCCGCCCCGCCGCGAGTCTGTGGTCCAAGCCGCCCCCGAAGCAGCCCGTAAGTATCGCGGGGCGCCGGGCGGGGCCTGCGAGGAGACGGAGCCCCGGGCCCGGGCGGTGGAGGAGGGGGCTGCAGCGGCTTCGAGCCCCGGCCCTTGGGAGCTCGGGGACGGCGGGGTCGCGGCCCTGGGCGCCGCGGGGAGGCTCCGGGACCCGAGGGCAGCGGCTTCGAGGGGCGCCGCGGCGCTTCGGGCTCGTCCCGGGCTGTTGACCTGGGATGGGCGGCCCGGGGCGAGCTGACGGGAGCCGGGGGTTGGGGCGCCCGAAGGAGCGGCGAGCTCGCGGGGAAACGCTGGGGTCCGAGAGGCCGGTGGCCGCGAGACTGAAAATGGTGCCGGGGAACCGGTGCTCCCCCAGGCTTTGGCCGGGTCCCAGGAGCCCGGGGCGGGGGCCGCGGGGCGGGGAGCAGCGGGTCGGGTTACGGCGGGGGAGGGGAGCGGCTGACCCGACGCCCCGACCTGCTGGGTGCTGGGTGCTGGGTGCTCGGTGCCCGGCCGGGAGAGGTTGCTCTTCCTTTTCCCGTGGCCTTCCTCCTCCCCCTCCGAGGAGGCTCGTACTCTCTTCCTCCTCCACCTCCACCTCCTCTTGCTGTTGCTGCTGCTGCTGTAGCGCTGGGGCTCCGAGGGCTGTGAGCAGAAATCTAATGAGATCTAACTGGCTGTTTATGTAATTCTTCACGCTCCTGCCTGTCTTGTGGCACTGCTTTATAACTACCTTCCACCGAGCCTGAATTTTGCTTGGCTGCACCTTCAAGCAATTGGGCTTAATCAGCTGCCTCTGCTGGCACTCAGGCTTTTGACTTGGAAAGTGTAGTTTGGGGGCAGCCAGGGATTCTTTTTCCTTTGTCACCACGAATATGAAAAATGGAACAGACGAATTAGGACCAACTTGATTTTTAAACGTCATTTTAAATCAACTTGAGCGTGCAAATAGATCCGTTTCGCAAATATCTTCTGTTTGCCCTTGATCTTTTCTTATCCCCACCCAGTGCTGATCCAGCAAACGTTTAAAGGTCGACCTTATCATACTTGCCTCTCTGGCTGTTACCGTGAGAGTGAGGGAGTGAGGGAGGTTTTTAAAATCAGACTAAAACTCAGAAACCCTGGCCTTTAAACAGAATAATCAATAGTTTTGATTTGTGTTGTTGCGTTGTTATACTTCCTGCCAAATAGGTACTTACCAGATTTAGAAAAATACACATTGAAAATAAAAGGCACAGAGAAGCTCGGATTTATTATATTGTATGCTCTTAGTATACTTAAGGCCGAAACTATATAGAATAATTTGGTTCTTATTCACTAGGATGAAATTCATTTAGTACTCAGTACTTTAATTTTAGCGTCATGTACTATGGAAATTAAAATGATTTTCCTAACTCGCCAAATATTTAAATGTCAGTGACAGGGCAGATTTAAAAGTATATATCCGAAGTAAACTACAACGTGGATTCACTTCTGAGTTGGTGAACACAATAAAAATTACCAACTGAAAGTGGCGTATGTATATGAGGGGGGAGGATACTGAGTACCGTAAATATTCTTGTGAGAACTGAGGGGAGAATAATACATATTCTAGAGGGTTTTCTTCTTAGAACTGTATTCAGAAACAAATCATCAGGGTCTTAAAAACATTATTTCATCTGTAAACCTACATTTTTCTGTGTGATTTTAAACTTTAATAAACAATTTTCTATACTAGTTACAGTTTTCAGGCTTTCTGTCCTAGTATACATTTTATCCTTAGCAAACTAACATAGGATATTAGACATTTTGAAAGGTGAAATTACTTTGGGGGTTAAAAAAAAAAAGGTCATGGGACTTATATTACATTTATCTTATTTGGACATGTTTGCTTTTGTTTTAAGGAACAAGATCACTCAAGGTGAAGGATAATCTACCAATACCAGCACTTTGAAAATTTGTTTCTCTGCCACAAACTGAACACTTTTTTTTTTTTTTTTTTTTTGCGGGGGAGTTGAAACCTAATTTTGTGGCATAGCAGCTATGCAGCTTGAAATCCAAGTAGCACTAAATTTTATTATTTCGTATTTATACAATAAGCTTCCCAGGAGACGTGTCAACATTTTTGGTGAAGAACTTGAAAGACTTCTTAAGAAGAAATATGAAGGGCACTGGTATCCTGAAAAGCCATACAAAGGATCGGGGTTTAGATGTATACACATAGGGGAGAAAGTGGACCCAGTGATTGAACAAGCATCCAAAGAGAGTGGTTTGGACATTGATGATGTTCGTGGCAATCTGCCACAGGATCTTAGTGTTTGGATCGACCCATTTGAGGTTTCTTACCAAATTGGTGAAAAGGGACCAGTGAAGGTGCTTTACGTGGATGATAATAATGAAAATGGATGCGAGTTGGATAAGGAGATCAAAAACAGCTTTAACCCAGAGGCCCAGGTTTTTATGCCCATAAGTGACCCAGCGTCATCAGTGTCCAGCTCTCCATCGCCTCCTTTTGGTCACTCTGCTGCTGTAAGCCCCACCTTCATGCCCCGGTCCACTCAGCCTTTAACCTTTACCACGGCCACTTTTGCTGCCACCAAGTTCGGCTCTACCAAAATGAAGAATAGTGGCCGTAGCAACAAGGTTGCCCGTACTTCTCCTATCAACCTCGGCTTGAATGTGAATGACCTCTTGAAGCAGAAAGCCATCTCTTCCTCCATGCACTCTCTGTATGGGCTGGGCTTGGGTAGCCAGCAGCAGCCACAGCAGCAGCAGCAGCAGCAGCAGCAGCAGCAGCAGCAGCCAGCCCAACCACCACCGCCGCCGCCACCACCCCAGCAGCAACCACAGCAGAAAACCTCTGCTCTTTCTCCTAATGCCAAGGAATTTATTTTTCCTAATATGCAGGGTCAAGGTAGTAGTACCAATGGAATGTTCCCAGGTGACAGCCCCCTTAACCTCAGTCCTCTCCAGTACAGTAATGCCTTTGATGTGTTTGCGGCCTATGGAGGCCTCAATGAGAAGTCTTTTGTAGATGGCTTGAATTTTAGCTTAAATAACATGCAGTATTCTAACCAGCAATTCCAGCCTGTTATGGCTAACTGAAAATAAGAAAATACATTGTACAAGTTAAAATGCACGGGCCCAAGGGGGGTTGTTTTTTTTTTTTTCGCCTCCTTGAGAATTTTTTTTTTTTAAGCTTATAGTAAGAATACATTCAAGCTTGGTTAAAAGAAATAAAACATGCATCATTTTTCATTTGCCAACCAAGCACAAAGTTATTTTATACTGACTGTATATTTTAAAGTATACTCTCAGATATGGCCTCTTACAGTATTTAAGATATAGCAAGGACATGGCTGATTTTTTTTTATAAAAATTGGCACTAATAAGTGGGTTTATTGGTCTTTTCTAATTGTATAATTTAATTTAGTACAAAGTTTGTAAAATATCAGAGGATATATATATTGTTTCTACGACATGGTATTGCATTTATATCTTTTTACTACAGTGATCTGTGACAGCAGCAGCTTCATGTTGTATTTTTTTTACTGAAATTGTAAAATATCCATCTTAAAGACATCAACTATTCTAAAAATTGTGTACAGGATATTCCTTTAGTGGTGGAATTAAAATGTACGAATATTTGCTTTTTCAAAAAAATGTATTTTCTGTTAAAGGTTTAAAGATTTTTGCTATATATTATGGAAGAAAAATGTAATCGTAAATATTAATTTTGTACCTATATTGTGCAATACTTGAAAAAAACGGTATAAAAGTATTTTGAGTCAGTGTCTTACATGTTAAGAGGGACTGAAATAGTTTATATTAAGTTTGTATTAAAATTCTTTAAAATTAAAAATGCCTATTGTGGTCTTTGTTTTTAAGTGTTTTCTAACTATCTGCCTCTGGAGTTATTATGCTGTAAATGCTAATGGTGGAAAAAGGCCTGACTCATTGGGGCACGAAGGAATAATGGAAAGCCGTTGCTCTACTCGTGCACCGGATCGTGGTTTGCCACGTAAAAAGTGCTATCAAAACTGAATAGCCTGACCAGTGCTTGGGACAGCTTTATTTTCTTACAGCTCTCTTCAGTCCACATTTGTCGACCCCATGATAGAGGTGCTATGTTAAGGTTAGTCAGCTCTACAGCGAGTTTCAAAATATGCTGACATCGAGGAGTCAGGTGATAAGATGAAATTCTTTCATGTAATCTGGGACAATTTATTTGAAATTTATATGGAGAGAGTATTGGATCAGTTTTCTGTTTTTGCTCAGGAAATTTGCTCAGACAAAGCGGCTGACCGAACTTTAAAAAGATTTACATCAGTTTACTAATCTTTAAAATTTAGCTATTGCACGTAGCTAGAGAACTTATGATAAAAATCTATTCATAGTTGGACAGATTGTTAAATGTTAGTATTGTCATTTTCCCAGCAAGAAAGTTTAAGTATTTAATTTTTTGCAAGTTGGTATCCAACCTGCTGGTTTGAAGGATTTACAGATTAGTTATTGATAGTGTGTCAAATTGAAGTGGCTTGGTGAGGATGGGTTTTTTT